AAAGAAACGCGTGCAGCCATCATCGCTTTGCATCCAAATGGCCTCACATGCAAGGAAATTGCTACAAAGAATATTGCACCTGAAAGAACCATTTACCGGATCATCAATAACTTCAAGGCGAGAGGTTCGACTGCAGTGAAGAAGTCTTCAGGACGTCCCAGAGTGTCCAGCAAGCGCCAGGACGTCTCCTCCTGAGGAGTCAGCTACAGAATCGTGTCTCCAGCAGTGCAGAGCTTGCTCAGGAATGGCAGCAGGTTGGTGTGAGAGCATCTGCACGCACAGTGAGGCCAAGACTTTTGGACAACGGCCTGGTGTCAAGAAGGGCAGCAAAGAAGTCACTTCTCTCCAAGAAAAACGTCAAGGACAGACTGAAATTCTGCAGGAAGTACAAGGATTGGACAGCAGAAGACTGGTGCAAAGTTATTTTCTCTGATGAAGCTCCCTTCTGACTGTTTGGGACATCTGGAAAATCGATTGTTTGGAGAAGAAAAGCTGAAGGCTACCTTGAGTCCTGTGTTGTGCCAACAGTGAAGCATCCTGAGACCATCCATGTGTGGGGTTGCTTTTCAACCAAGGGAGTGGGCTCTCTCATAATTCTGCCTAAAAACACTGCCATGAATAAAGAATGGTGTCAAAACGTCCTGCAAGAGCGACTTCTTCCAACCATCCATGAGCAATTTGGTGATGATCCGTGCATTTTCCAGCATGATGGAGCACCATGTCACAAAGCAAGAGTGATAAAGAAGTGGTTCGAAGATCATTACATTGAAATTTTGGATCCGTGGCCAGGCATCAATCCCATAGAGAACCTGTGGTCAGTCCTCAAAAGGCGAGTGGACAAGCAGAAGCCCACAAATTGTGATCAACTCCGAGAACTAATAAGGCAAGAATGGATCGCCATCAGTCAGGATTTGGCCCAGAAGCTAATATCCAGCATGCCAGAGCGAATTGCAGAGGTTATGAAGAACAAGGGTCAACACTGTAAATATTGACTCATTATATTTTTTTGCCAATAAAAGCCTTTAAAACTTATGATATGCTTATCATTGTTTTTCAGTATACCATAGAAACGTGTGGAAAAATAATCTACAAATACTGAAGCAGCAAACTTTGCAAAACACAAAATTTATGTCACTGCCAAAACTTTTGGCCATGTCTGTACAATGACCTCTTATATGTCAAAAGATCAAGGGAATTTGGATTTCTCAGTTCATGACCCTTTTAACAGCACAACACTCATACTCATACATACACACTCATCATTCATACTGCACGTGAAATATAATGCTGCAGAAATGCGGTGGATATATTACCTGCAGATTGTTGAGAGGTTCCATTTTCATGACAGGGCCGCTCATGCTGAGAGGGAGACTAACGTCAATGGTCTGATTGGGGCTCAGAGGAGTCAGAACCTGCATAGGGCCAGCAGGGGCGAGACCAAAACTACAGAAAAACAGAGAAATTCAGTTAAGACTACTGATGCAACAAAATTCATTTTTTGAAATTTAAGTTTTTATTTAGCCAAAAATAATGTTTCTGCAGTTAAATGTGGGTAATTTAATTTATATGCTTATTCGTATGTCATATTCACAGGTGAATTTCTTCTGCAAAGAGCCATCTCTCAATATTTCAGCCAAACACATTTTACATACTCTAGCATAATTTTTGGTCATGGCGATATGTGATGACTGATGATATGTTTACTTGCTGTAGCTAATCCATGCTGCGAAATAGTCACTGTCAAAATGTGTAATTAGAGAAGTTTTGGTCAATGAGTTTGCCCTCCAAAACCGTTTCGGCCAAATATTTTTGGTTGCATCACCAGTTAAGACACAACCAATATTTGGCTCAGGATTTGATTTTTTTTTTTTTTGCAATCTGTACATTTGTTGCATGTTTACAAACAGAAGGACCTAGGAACAAGACAAGAATATCACAGAGACTATCACAGTGACTATCACAGTGAGGTGTGCACTTTCGATTGGGCCACTAAGTCACCTTAGCAATTGCATAGCAACACTGACTCTGTCAACCACACAACTGCCTATCATTGTGGCTGCGAGATTTGTGTGAGAAAGCACCATTATATAAATCTATACATACATAAGAATATGACCTCCTTGTTGCCCTTGTATTGTAAGATTTAAGTAGAATATATTACAACGTTCTACTTTCAGGCTTTACTGAACGAGAGGTAATTTTCTAGACAGAAGACATCAATTGACATGAAAACACATTTCAGTCTCTTTAGAATATCAGCATGTCCTTGAATGATCCCACTGACAAAACCGTATAAATGAATGCTACGTTTTCCAGGCAGGCCTCCAAACTGATTAGCAAGCGGCGAAGATACCGCAGAGAGAAGAGCAAAACCTTGAAGAGACCTCCAAAACAGTCTCCTGTTCTGCCACTGGACTCACCTGTTCCTGTTGAACTGAATGGCGAAGTCAGTCATAACACTCATGGCTTTGTTGGTAAGAGACAGATCCATCTGAATGATCCCACCACGTCGAGCAAACGTCCCAGAAATCTCCAGCCCTTTAGCCTTCATTGCCAGTAACCACGCCTGAACCCACAGATAAACAGGTTGAGAGTGTGGGGTAAAGAAAGAGAGTTTGGGGCGCACACACGTCTGTGGCTTTTGTTGTCTCAATATTTCTGTACATTGCACCTTGGTGTTTTTTTTAAGCATCTCATTCTATGAGAGTTGCATTTCTAAGCCATTTTTTTACAATTAAAAATGTGCTCTGCATTCTGTTGGACTGGAGAGTCCATTATTGAACACCACAGCACGTTCTATGTGCACACCCACTTAAGAGTCCAGGAAACACTGCCGTATTACAAATTTACTTTAAAAAGTGGTGAACCTGCTTACAAAAGACTGCTGAAGACATAACCAAAGTTATTGATTAAAGCAGAGAACACACTACACGACTGTCAGGCCGATTATGAATGGAATTTGATCTTGATGACGGATCGTGCCCAGTCGGACCGGGTCTGTTCCAGTTGGGCTCAGTCGCTGTTTGCAGTCTGCAGAAAAAGTTGCATAGTGTGTGGTATCTAAAGATTATAATCTTAGAATTCAAGAACCAGTTGTTGCCAGTCGTTTTCACAAAGATTTTTTTAAACATGTTTAATATAATTCATTGCTTTCATATCAGTTTTTTTATATATACACCTTTCATAAAAAGTGCCTTTAGTTTAACTTACTTTATGCAACACTGGTTATCTGGGACACTACGTTGAACAAGGAGAAAAATTCAGAATTAGAAAACACAAAAGTCTTGTAACAGTTCAGGGAGCAGCAAAATAGTTCACCCAAAAATGAAAAATCATTTACTCGCCCTCATGTCATTTCCAACTTCTTTTTTTCTGTGGAACACAAAGGATGATATTTTTAGAGTCAGTTGACTTTAATTGGGTTAATTATGTATTTGGAATGACATGAGGGTGAGTAAATGTGTCACATGTAGGTTGCAGCAGGGTGAAGTAAAAGCTGGATTTAGGCGGAGCAGTCTTTATTAAATGAACTCAAATGAAAACAAAACACTCTCAACGTTAATTATTACAAGCACAAACAGAGCAACCAACATAGTAATAACAATAATGGACAAACTAAAGCACAAAGTGAGGGCTAGGTATACACAAACTAGTCAGGGGTGAAACAGGACAGGTGTGACTAAAGCAGAGAACAGACTACACAACTGTCAGGCCGATTATGAATGTAATTTGGTCTTGACGACGGATCGTGCCTCGTCGGATGGGGTTTGTTTCAGTTGGGCTCAGTCGCTGTTTGCAGTCGGCAGAAAAAGTTGCATAGTGTGTGGTATCTAAAGATTATAATCTTAGAATTCAAGAACCAGTTGTTGCCAGTCGTTTTCACAAAGATTTTTTTAAACATGTTTAATATTTGCGACTGACACCAGCGATTGCAGCTATACAGAGGAGATGCGTGCACTGTCAAACATCATTCAGCTTCCTTTTTGTAATTTTGTCATATTTTCTTCTTGATTACAAGAAAAATCTCGGAAGTTTTTGTTATTTATTTCTTGACTTTCTTTTAATTCGTTAACACTGTGTTAGAAATTAACAATCGGTCCCTCTATGTTCTCTTTGCCACCAATAGCACTAGAAATTTTATAATTAAGGGAATTAAACATAGGCATAGGCATTTGAAAATACATAATGAAATGTGTCTACTCACTCAATAATTCCAAAAAGAAAGAGAAGCATCGGACTTAATGCAAAACATATTCAAAACACATTGCTGTGACATTTATTAGGATCACTAACATAGCAGAAAAAACCCCTAATATTTTCTGTTAAATTAAGCACATAAGAAAAGTAAAACAGACCTTAACGTCTGTTTTAGGTAAAAGCTCACCGGCGTTGTCCGCTGTATTGTGGGGCGGGAGTGGCTGCGGGAGCGCGGGTAGATGCTGCGGTTTTTGCGAGTTGTTTTTTGGTTTGGCAGAATTTGTCCAGTCATTAAGTGTGATATGTAGTGGAGTGACTCAGTCATTAGGTTTGTGCTCCTTTCCGATTGTCAAAGACTAAAATCTGTTCCAGTCGATTGAAACAGTGGTTAAGTGTGTTGAGGTCAGTCTTAGAATGTTTCAGCTAGTCGTGTAGTGTGTCCCCAGCTTAAGAGTATTGATTGATTCTATACTTACAGTTTTAGGAGCAACGTAGGATCCTGTTGGCATGCCAACACCTCCACCAAGGTCAAAAAGGTCTCCCAATCCACCTCCAACAGCAGGAGCACCACCGAGAGAGGCAGGCATGGCTGCTGGGGCCGCCCCCAAACCGGCACCCATCTGAGCAGATGGAGATGAGTATTACAACCTATTACAACTTTCCCAGACCGTTACAAGACCATCATGAAAAAGACAAATTAACTAAGATAAAAAAAAACGTTTAGGAGGAATTTAACAGCTCTTTGATTAATGAAGGCAAACCCTCTGTTGATGCTAATACTCCTCCAATGAAGCACATTCATCAAAGTCTGGGTGAACTTTGCTAAAAATCTTTCTCTATCTTACCGAAGGGCTTCCGCCGATGTCTCCTCCCAGCTGGGAACAGAGAGAGGACAAAAAATGAGTGTAAGGATCAGTAGGCAGGAAAGATGCGGATAATTATGAAGAGGTTGATGAAGGGGGAACTAGCTCAGTGGGTGAAAACAAGACAATCAGCTGCTAAGGAAGTTGTGAGACATCCTATTAACAGTTTCTTTAGGCTTTTTAAGCTCAACCAGGGTTGGGCAATATGAAGTGTCAATCGATAAAGATTGTGCCATTTTATTATTATATTAGTGTTTTATTTTACATTCGATTATTCTTTTTTTTTAGTATTTCTTACTTGAATGCTATTGTTAAACAGACATACTGCACCTGAAAAAAAACGTATTTCTAATAACAAAGATAAAATAAAATAACTTTTCTGTGAAATACATATAGAATTATTGTGACAAAAAATTACTCGTATCATGAAAAATTTAGTCATATCACCCGCCCCTACTTTCAACATACTAAACATTCTGTATGAGACGTGCCTACTTGTGTGTGACTACAACTACTGCTACAAACTCTAACACTGAAACAAAAAGGAGGAAAGGTGCTCTTATGGTTCCTTCATACTGATCTAAAACCAGTTTATGTTGGGCAACAGGGACTACTCTAAAATCAGTACAGAGGAACTTTTTAAGGATGAACGCAAAAGGTGAGAACACCCACACAGACCTCTCTCTCACTATAATCAGAAGATGGTTGGGGAGACTGCACCTCTGTCCTGCCACCCGGCTGATACAGGAATGAGAAATGGATGAAATGTTTCCAATGGATGAAAGCAGAAGAAATGAGGGGAATGATGCTGGGGATTTCTAAAACTTTACAGTTGCTAAAAATATTGACATAACTCCCTGAAAAATAACATGTGGTTGCAGCAAGCCCAGGACTGTTTATACAAGATGTGTAATGACAAAATGAACATATTTTACTGATGTCAACACTAGTTGCCAGTGGTTGTAAATAAAAATGTTGGGGCTGTAAATGTACAAGGTAGACTGCAGTAGCTAAAGCAGCCCTCTGCTGGTGTGATGAGTACATCGGATACACATACTAACAGATCCCCAATTTAGCCTAATGAAGAGAATCGATATCGAATCGACGTCATTTAAAAAAACCGATTAATCAAAAAATCTATTTTTTTTGCCCAGCCCTATTAATCGCATTGTTATGCACAAAATTCAATAACTTTTTTCTTTTAAAAGTACTGCTATATGAACAAAAGTGCAATAATAATAACATTTTGTTTGCAAACACTTTAAACAAATAAGGTGCTTTTTTTACAGCAGTATTCCTTTTACATAGTAGCAGTTAAAATATTTCTTGTAAATCTCAACTGATAATATTAATGTTTATAGTTTATTATAGAAAAACAAGTTATGCTCAGAGTCCAGAGCCTCGATCCTAACAATATAACAGGCACCTTCCGAGTAGAGACCTGCACGATCGCGGGACCCAATGCAGAGTGCGGTGCGGGACAACACTTGAGGGGCGAGTGCGGGTGCGGGCGGGTAGAGACTCGTGTGTGCGGGATGCGGAGGTGTACTCACACTAGGCAATCTTAACCGGGTTCGTTTGACTAGTGTGATCGCTCCGTGCCGCGCTCGGGCACGGTTCGTTTAGCCGTCCCTGGCTCGGTTGGAAGAGGTGGGCCAGAGCGCGGTTCAGTTATGTCAGC